TTACCCTTTAATGCAGTTCCTCTTGTTGTGGTGACCCTCAAACATAATATTTTCATTGCTACTACATACATATGTGTTTTGCGATGGTCGTTCGACCCCCAAAGAGGTAGCGACCCACAGGTTGAGAAGCGCTGGTGTATAGCGTAGTGCTCGGAAACGCACCACCCATTTAAAGGAATAAATACCGCTTTACGATGCCCCTGGCTCCCAGAGTATTTCTTGACAGATAGATTACTATTTATAAAAATGTCTCCTCAACGAAATAAGTGTGCCGACCCCTTGATCTAGCGAAGTGGCCAGTGACCACTATCCACAGGAAAGAAAACAGGTTCGTTTCTATGCCCGACATTGAAGACACGGTCAACAGAACTCAAGGCCATAAATGAACTGCATTCTAAACATTGCTACGATTTCTACCCTGTAAAATCGAAAGTAGCCCAGCACCAAAATAGGTTGGAGAGTATGCTGACTTTCTGAGAAACCACTGTAAATGAAACTAAACAGTGCACGCTTGAGCAGTCAACAACGTCACGGCTCAGTGGGACGGACCTGTGTTACACTGATCAAATACAAACCAACAAACTTGTTAGTCTGCCTTACACTTGTCACTTAGATGCTTCGTGTCGTGTGGTTTTTATTGAAGGTTTGAAAACATGATTAGGATTCGGACATTTGATGTTAATTGGCTCTGTGCTGAAGTTGTCTGAGCTTGGTGCACGGAAACTCTTTGGTAACTATACACATTTAAAAAAAAGATTTTTGGTAGCAAATTTAATTAGGGTTAAAAATGGGATGTTAAGGACGTCAGAACATATTGGCCAGGACGTTTTATTACGCAAGACAACAAGAAAGTAAATAGTAAAAAGTCTAGATTGTATTGATAAAAACATGAGAATCATTTCATATCCACATCTAGCTTTTTATGTGTAACCACATTTGAACATAAGAATAACACCAAATCAACAGTGGCATAGTTAAGGTTGTGGTGTCGTTCAGGTGGGGGTCAGGATTTTGGACTCCCCGTGAAAATCTCCGCATGTGGAACAAAATAACGTTCCTCAACGCATTGGGAAAAAAAAAATGCCACCAAGGCGAACCGGCACACAGCCCCCGCTTTTTCCAGCTCCCCTGCATTGCAATGTTTTTTGTTTAATAAATGTTGAAAGGAAAAGGAGTCATGTACTTAGGTTCATTCCAGTAAATATGTATTGACAAATTTTAGGGAATGTTTGATACCCCATGCCAATAATTGTCAAACTTTAAAGGAAAACCTAATAAATTATGTCACGATTTTTTTACATCACAAACAACCCCCCCTCCCCCCCCCCCCCCAAAAAAAAACAAAAAAAA